CCTCCAACTGCGGCAGCGACGCCCTCACCATGTTCGGCTTCGGCCCCGGTACGCCCGCTTACCACGCACCGCTCTACAACGTCGACTTTTATGCTGACGTGGCGACACCGCACACGCACACGCACATGCACGGCATAGTGGTGGGAGATGGCCTGGGTCTGGGCTACATGATCCAGAACGAGAAGATCCCGATCACGGTGTCGTCCTTCCAGAGGCAGGCCCTCCCCTACGCCCGCGCGTTGGAGAAGAGTCTCCTCGAGATGCGCGACGTGCTCGACGCCTCCACCACCTCCACCTCGGCCTGAAAGTGACCTCACAGCTTCCCCCAGCTCTCGCCTTGATGCTCCATACAGGTGGTAATACACTGTTTGTTCTACTAAGAGGCCAAGAGTTGTTGATTGTTGTTGTTTTGGCTCAAAGGGGTTGTCAAGCGGTAATGAAGGTGAAGAAGAGAGCAGCGAAGGTGAGAAGTATGAGGAAGGGCAAGTAGGTCTGCAGCACATGTCGCCAGCTGTTTAAATATACACACATATGTAGCGAATGTTAGTAGTGCTCTTGGGTCATGCATTGCCATTGTGGTGCGATTGCGCGTGCGTGCGACGGTGTGTTGCGTGCGCATGAGCAATCGGGGGGGGGGGTGACCTGGGATAGTGGGAGTGGAGCATCATGAATAAAATGAGCGTCACTGTGTTCCATCGAGTGCTACGCTTGAAGCGAAGCGAGTTCAGCGCGTAGCCCACGTGACTGTGGCAGTTATCCCTGCGAGGCCAACACCAACACCAACACCAACACATCAGTCTACGCTCTTTCGGCCAAGGCAAGACGAGTGCACGAAAAGCGTGCGTACCAGAGAAGGTTGTGCTAATGATCGCCAGTCATGGTCGAAGAGGAAAGGCATAGGGAACGAGTCAGTCGCCCAAGAGAAGGTGGTGCTGGGTGGGTTCTGTTGCGTACCATGCGATTGGCGTACTCGGCTGATGCCGCCTCGACGGCGTCGTCCCACTTCTGGGCGGCCTCTTCCGGACTAGCGCCCCACACCTCCTGCACCCGATAGAACCTGGCACCACAGCAGCCCACCACCCCGGGTCAGTCGCTTGACGTGGCCCGTCTGACCGTCTTCACGAAGTCAACAAACACAGTGCCTTGGTGCTACTACTTACTTGGTGGGCCTCCCGAAGGCGAGCGTGGTCGGATGGCGCTGGCGACGTAGTAGAGAGCAACATATATGAATGAGCAAACGGATGTGGTGTAGCGTCAGTCAGTCGACTACGGTCGGTTGGCGACCCGCTACACGCGCGGCACAGTGAGCTTGAGCGAGAGGCGCAGAGTAAGGCGTACGTTGATCGTGTAGGGGCCTGCAAAGTCGTGCAGGAGGCCCGTGCTCGTGCTCATGCCGAGGTGCCCCACCCACGGACACATCCATCTTTGTTGCAAAGAGAGATCACAGATTGAGTAATAATAATAAAAGATTTGAAAGAAGGCAGGTGAGGGCCGACGTACGTGAGGACGGGAATGGGGCACCACACGATGCACATGCGGTAGGGGCCAACTGCACGACCTCCCGTGCTGTTGCTATTCAGTTGGTGGTGATGCTCGCAGCTTTCCTCTTCTTCTTCGAGCATCACGGCCCCCTCCACTTCCCCCTCCTCTCTGGCCAGGCTGCTGTAGGCACCGTGACTCATCTTCTTCGTCTTCTTCGTCTTACTGGTGGTGTTCTTCCTTGTCTGCTTCATTTATTTTCTTTATTTAAAATTGTGCATTTATTCTGGTGCTGACGTCATCTTTTTATTGTTATTTTCTGTTTTCC